GTTGTACACATTCTTTTAATATAAAAAAAACAATTCTCCGATTACATTCCAATTGAGCCACCAGCGTGGAAGATGACATCGTAGAACTACTTCTCGTGTTTCGTAAACAATAACGGGCAACAAAGGTCACCTCGTGGAGGAGATTCGGCCCCACCATAGGAATGTGGAATTTCCATCACAGGCTAAGGGCAGCGAATGAGCGACCACCTCATTTGAGGAAGGAGGCACTTTGACTTGTTTTCAAATTGTGTGGGTTTTTTTGTTCTTTTAGTGGCTAATGACCCGCCTAAGACAATAAACTCCCCTACATTTAAGAAATCCGGTCACATCTCAAATAGATATTTTTAGTCCATCAGCCTGTAGATTTTGCAGACGAATATCATACAGAAGCATGTGTTTAAGCGAGCAAACACAGGACCGGTTTCCATCTTCTGGATGTCATCAGCAGAGTTAGACTTGAGGGCTAATTTAACCTCCGACCCGTGACCCCAACACTGAGAAACAAATAATGGCGTGGCTCTGCAACCAAGCTCACGCGCCGGTTAAAACATTCTTTTACTTTATTTATATGTGGAGGCAAAGAACGGAGTTCTAATTCGATATATATGTATAATCCTGTTCTCGAGGGGGTGCATCATAATTCAAAACAACCTCGTTGCTGACTCGGCAGCGCTTCTGAAACACAGAGGACATTGGGGCCCCAACCACCCGGCCGCTCGGCCACCCGCCCGCCCGCCCGCCCGCCCGCCCGCCCGCACACCAGCCCGCACACCAGCCCGCACGCCTGGCCTTGTCATCAGACGTAAAGAAGACGTACATGTGTACACGAGCGGGGCCGTGATAAGTGTGCAGATTCTCCACGGCGAATTAAGAGCCCTCTCCTCCTGGGATGCCGGAGGGATTTGGGGGGGGGGGAGAGGGAATAGAGATCACGTTAACCGGTCCCAAGGTAAAACATTTTAGAAGTGGCAACTTGGACACGCGCCTCAGTTAGCGCTGTTGCGGGGTTCCGCACGTCAGCACCTCGGCGTTATGCGTTCACCGCCGGCTTGAGACGTATACCATCTTGTGCCTGGCCCGGATGGCCAATTCCCAAAAGCCTCTCCCCCCCTTCCCCATCCCTTTCCCAACCTCCACCACCAACACTACCACCAGCAGCAGCAGCATCAGCAAGCGGCCCCGCACAGCAATGGGGCCAGCTGCCAATCAAGGCAGCCCAGGCATTTCCTATGCCCAAAGCACGCCCAGCTGCGACCAACTCTTCTCAGTAAGAGACCTCCTCTCTTCTCAGCTCCGACGCACACACGCAAAATGCGTACACACATGGCGGGTGGTGTTAAAGGACAAAGATCCCCACCCGTGTCGCCTGAACAGACTGTCGGGGCAAGTGCTGTTAGCTAGCACCTATGAAGGGCGGCACAGGGAAAGGGGGTGGGTGGCCAGCACCACGCCCGGCCGCCTTTGTCTCCCGAGTGGCGATGTTGACACACCGCACCAGGTACTCATTTGAGGCTGAGTCGACCTAGGGGAGGCCCAGGACCGGTTCATATAATCGTCACCGGTGTTGGCCGTGAGCGGGAATCGAACTCTGGTCGCCGGGTGCGTTGCGCAGTGCGCTAACCACAACACTACCGCTCCCCTGATTGAAAACCACACAGACAGACACGGACACACACGCACAGGGCCGGCTGGCATAAAACAAGGGACGGAGACGGATGAGTGGGCGGGGCATAGCGGGGGTGTGGGCGGGGCATAGCGGGAGTGTGGGCGGGGCATAGCGAGGGTGTGGGCGGGGCATAGCGGGGGGTGTGGGCGGGGCATCGCGAGGGTGTGGGCGGGGCATCGCGAGGGTGTGGGCGGGGCATAGCGATGGTGTGGGCGGGGCATAGCGGGGGGTGTGGGCGGGGCATAGCGGGGGGGTATAGGCGGGGCATCGCGGGGGGTGTGGGCGGGGCATAACGGGGGTGTGGGCGGGGCATAGCGGGGGTGTGGGCGGGGCACAGTGCGGGTGTGGGCGGGGCATAGCGGGGGTGTGGGCGGGGCATAGCGGGGTGTGTAGGAGGGGCCTCTGCGGGTGCGAGGGGAGGAGCGAGGGTGCGGGTGGAGACAAGAACATTTATGCAAATGAGGAGGGACCCCGAGTGGGCGGAGCTCGCTCGGGGGGAGGGGGGGGCGAGGAAGGGCGCGCGCGGGTCTGCCAAGTTGGTTTTGATGGGAGAAGGGGAGGGGGGGCCATGTGTTGTTTTATTTGGGGGGGTGGTGGGGGGTGGTGGGGGGTGGTGGTTGGTGGTGGATGGAGGGTGTAGGGGGGAGGTGTAGGGGGGAAGGGGAGGGTCTTGGGGTTTTGGGGAGGTGAGCTGGAGGGTTATTGTGGGAAAACCGAGAGCAGAGGAGGGATTGGTGGTGGTGCCGCTGGTAAAGTTGGGGAGGGGGGGGGCGAGGCGGTATTGACTGTAGGTGGCGCGCACTGGGAGCTAACGGCTCCCAGTGAAGGAGGAGGAGGAGGTGAGGGGGGCCTCAAGAATGAAGGAGGCTGGCTGGGTTTGAACAGAGAGAGAGAGGGGAGCGAGACAAGATAAACAGAGCGGGCGAGGGAGAAGCTGAGACCGCAACAGCGAGGCTGAAAGACATAGGGACAGGAAGACGTGGAGTCACAGAGACAGGGGGGGGGGGGGGGGTGTGGATCAACAGATTGGTACACGGGGAGACTGCGAGCCAGGAAGGAGGACGCAGAGATAAGAGAACCGATAAAGACAACCATCAGTCAAAGTGTCTGCGTGATGAAGCTGGCGTGTGATTGCCTTCGTCTCCATGGGTGGCCACGAGCCAGCAGTGGAAACTCCACATTCCCATGGCCGGGAGGGGGCAACCACTGATAACTTCCCATGAAGCGGTGCTTGTTCTTTATCGACCGCTATGGAATTCAGGGCTCATTTGTACGCATGTAGAACTTCTTTTGCGCCGTACGCAGCCATTCGTGCAAATCAGAGGTGCGGGGGGAAGGACGACAAAACTGTTAAGCCCGGACGCGGATATTAATCCTTGACCCCACAAGGACAAGAGCCATGAAGTGGACACAGTGTACACATGGCAGTGTGAAAGACGCAGGACAACACTCGAGACCCTTAGACAGACACGGGGACGGTGAGCGACCGGGTGCTCGTGAACGAGACGGCAAGTGTAAGTGAGCGAGCGAACAATGAGCAAGCGAGTGCCAAGAGTGAGCGAGCAAATGTGTGGGTGAGTGAGCGAGCGAGCGATTGAGTGAATGAGCAATTGAGTGGGTGAACAAGCGAGAGCGTAGGTGAGCGAGCGAGCGAGCGAGCGATGGGTGGCGACAAAACTGGTCGGCGAAAGGTGGAAAAAATAAGATGGAATGAAATGTCTACTGTAAGAACGGCAACAAAAGAATGAAATAAATAAAAAGGAGGAGAGTTAAAATTGTGCTGAATGCGCACGGGGGAGCAGCAGCGGAAATCGCGCGGCCAAATGCACGCAGAGGCGCGCTCGCAGACGGGACGGGGAAAACCTCTGTGAGCCTTCTGGAGAGAGAGGGGGCGAAAGTTACGTCTTGAAAAACTTGAACAACAAAACGAAGAGGAATAAAACAGGAAAGGGCGTCGAGGGTAACAAGATAAAACGACGCGAGGGTTGAAGAGCGACCCTCACGTCGCTTGAGCTACGAGAAAGCCAAGCGTCAGGGGCGAGCGCGGCCGGGATGAATCCCGAGCGCTCACAAGTCATCGATCTCTTTAACCGAATTTTCAGCCCAACGTTTCGGCGACGATTTTGTCAAATCGCGAGCATGGGGCGAAACGTTCCACCGCCATCCTCCGTGGGTATGGCACCAACCGGCCGTGTAACGGTTGCGTGGTTTTTTACCCTCTGATCGTCTTATTAAATCGGGCTTTGTGTCCCTTGCTGTAATTCCATTTCTGCGGAACTGACCGCAAAATATATGAACCGCACTGCCAACACAAAATGTAATCTGGGAAAAACACGTACAGTGTTGTTGTTGTTTGGCTTGAGGCCAAACGCGATGAGTAACTCGATCAAAGAATTCACTGCTTCACGTTACCACTAGAAGAGTGACTCAAGGATTCATAATAACTGCATCATCAGGGCAGTGAGCTGCCACAGCTCAGGGCAAGGGTTCAAATACCGCGTGACGCCACGCGTCTTCGTTAACCCAGCCACCCCACCCCCCTCACGCGCGCACGCCCGTGGCAGCGTGACGCTCGCACAAATACCACAGATCGATTGCTTGCCGCACGTGGCCTGCCTGTGGTCCAGCGCTGTGGACTCGGTGAGGGTGTGCAAATCGTCGCACAGCTGTTGTGTGAAACTCCCTTTCCGTGGGCGTCGAGAAGTACGCCATACCCCGGTTCACCAGCAGAACATGGTACATTCAAAGTGTGCAATAAGTATCATCCGTCCCCGTCTGTACAGGGATACGGTGTTGCCCCCTCGCACACGTGGGGTGTCTGCAACTTCCTGCCGTGCGTACGAACACCGATTGATTCGCTGAAAACATCCGAACGCAACTCCGCGTTTGTGGATTGCGCAGCGTCTTAAGATGCAGTTTGCATGAAAACAACTAAGTGTCATATTCTTGGTTCTTTCGGTAAAGTCACGTAGAAGGAAAACAATAAAATAATAAAAATAGAAAACAATAAAATTCTCACGACGTTTCGATTGTAACACAAGCACTCATCGTCAGGTGTGAAAACCACAGCTTGTGTTACAATCGAAACGTCGTGAGAATTGTAATGTTTATTATTTTTATTATTTTATTGTTTCCCTTCTACGTGACTTTACCGAAAGAACCAAGCCTATGAATCCATGCAGTCACGAAAGCTTTAAATCAAAATCTAACCAAGTGTCACTTAACGATATCACCGTCATTGCTATTGTGCGTAGAGCGAAGGGTTTCGACCGCACGGGCGGCTTGTGACGGGCGAACGTGGGGGGCGATCGAGCGACGCGAAAGGGTCACTCGCCTGCAGCAGCAGCTTCTCGGAGGCGAGCAGCGCATCCCTGCGAGCGCCCGCCGGGTGCTCCAGGGTCTGCGCCGTGGCGAGCACGAGCTGCAGCAGCGCGGCGTGGCCCTCCACGTCCCTGCGGGGGAACGCGCGCACGTACGACTCCAGCTGCTCGCCCGTCACCTTGCCTGCAGGTGGACACAAGGGCGCACATACGCACGCACGCACGTACGTAAAAAACACAAAGATCACCCCGTGTAGCCTTAACAGACTGTTGGGGCAAGTGCTGTTAGCGAGCACCTTTGTCCCCACAGTGGGGATGTTTACACACCGCACCAGGTACTCATTTGAGGCTGAGTCGACCTAGGGGAGGCCCAATGACCTGTTCATATAATCATCATTGGTGTTGGCCGTGAGCCGGAATCGAACTCTGGTTGCGAGGTTTGTAGCGCAGCGCGCTGACCGCGACACTGCCGCTCCCCACATACACAAACACATCCGTGCGCACACACACACACGTACATACACATGCACATCCACATATACATACAAATGCGTGCACACACACACGTGCATGTACATACGCACACACATAGACACACACGTACATACACATGCACATCCACATGCGTGCATACACACATGTAATTACGTATCCATGCACACACGCGCTCATGAACACACGCACGCACGCACATACTTCAGGTGCAAGCACCTATTAAGGTCGGGTACTCATTGACGGCCGAGTCGATGTAGGGGAGGCCCACGATTAGTTCGGTCGCCAATAATGGCCGGGGGCTCCGCAGTGCGCAGCGCGCTGACCACTGCATCACCACTCCCCCCAAGGAGCACAGGCGCTCGCAGGTTCAACGCGAGCGGCCGCGGGCACTTGCGAGTCCCTCTCGAGGGGGCGAGGGGCGCCGCGTGGGCAGCAGAGGGCGCTAGGGCACCGCAACAGGCAACTTCGGCGAGCACCATCTGCTGGGCTCCGGGTGGGGGATGGGGCTGCCCGTGAAGGCGTTTGGCACTCGAGTGTTAAAGCTGCGGCGTAAACCCTCCATCCCCCGAGACGCTACAAGGACAATTAAGACCCTTCAGCACCGTGGTGACACACGCTCGAGTGCCACGCGCACGTGTTTGTTGTTGTTCGCTCGCTCGCCGGGCTCGGGGTGGAGTGGCGAATCAAAGATCTCGGCTCAACAATGTTGGGGGGGCAGGGGGGGGGCAAAGGCTGCTAGCGCCGCGTCGCCCCCCTAATGCACCAGATTTCGTCGGATCGCGGAAACTAAGCAGGTTTAAGGCCTGGCTAGTCCTAAGACGGGAGGCCGCCTTGGAACACCCGGTGCTGTGCGCAGGCGTGGACCACGAGGGGGTTGGGGAGACGGCGGGAGGGTACGGGATTCGTGAATCGTCGAAGGGAATGTCAGCGCTGGTCCCTCGTGTGCGCGGGGTTTCTCTGGGCACTCCGGTTTGCCGCTCGGTGGTGGCTCTGGCGGAGGAAGCGACGGCGGTGGCCCTATGGAGATGCTTGCCATGAAAATGCGGAGTTTCCACTAATGGCGAGTACCGGAAATCACTGGCTTCAAAAATCACTTCGACGTCTGGACAAAGGCCAATAAACTAAACTATCAACTCAAGTATTTGTTATTTGACCAGGTAAGGCCCACTGAGCTCTTTTTCAAATGAAAGCTCAACCAAGTGGCTTGTCACGTGGGAATGTACAGCAGCCAAATACTCGAAACGCACGTTTCTGAATGTGGAGGGGAAAACCCGGAGGGCCCAGAGAAAAATCCACGTGACCACAGGGAGAAAGACACCGCAAATTGCAAATACACAGCAGCAGGCGTCAGGGTCGGGATCGAACCCACGACCTCCTGTATACCAGGCGAGGTAGTTAACATCTCCTAGCCACCGTGATGATGATGATGAGAGAGAGACACCGCAAATTGCAAATACACAGCAGGCGTCAGGGTCGGGATCGAACCCATGACCTCCTGTACACCAGGCGAGGTAACCGACATCTCGCCACCGTGGCATCGTGCATCATCCAGGGGCGCGTACGAGCGCACCCGGGTGCGCACGAAGGCCCAGGTCTTACCCATGGCCATTTTGAGCACGAGGCCGGCCTGGCCGGCCCGCTCCACGACCTGCCGTCGCACCTCCATGACGGCCTCCTTCTGCTTGCTGTAGAGCATGGCCTCCCACAGGGCCTTCGCGCCAACGTCACTGAGCGGGGGGGGGGGGCGGCGGAGGTGCGGGGGAAAGAGAGGAGGGGGGCGTGGGAGGGGGAGGAGGGGTGTGGGACGGAGGGAAAGGGCGAGACGGGGGTGGGGAAGCAATCGCATGAGGATCAGAGGGTGAAAACGTGAGTGAGGGAGGATGAGTGGTGGATGGGGGGAGACGGAGAGAGAGAAAATCACCAACGTGAAGATGGCAGGTAGACATGACAGAGACGAGGCGGGCAGGCAGACAAACGTGAAAGCAAGCAGGCAGACAAACAAGTACACAGACAGGGAGATCGATGGGCAGAGGAGGGATATGGTGAGACAGACAAAAAGGCAATGGGGGTATGAATGACAATTAAGGGGAGAAGAGAAGAGACAAAATGAGAGTGAGAAAGAGACACGGGAGAACAGGGAGAGACAGAGCAAGACAGAGAGTGATGCACATGGCAGACACCATGAGAACATACTGCACCGCAAGTACGGCAAAAGTTACTGAGGTCAGAGCATTATGTGCCATCAACTTCAATCGATTGCCTCTACGCACACGACAGCAGCTGTAGTTACAAACATATCTTCCAATTGCAGCAACGACGGTTACCACATCATTGGTAATGGCCTTTAACCAGAAAATCCTCGTTGAACGTCAAAATTCATTTTCAGGAAATTCCTCCGCTGTTGATGTTTCTTTCCACACGAGACCGACAATTCATTTCTTGGACGGACGACAAGAAACAACGGTTCACGTCGTAGAGTTACGAGGAGGCCGACACAAAAAGCAAAGAGAGGAGAAAATTACTTCCGAGATTCGGATGAAACCCAAAACCTTATGATGATGATGATGACGAAAGATGTAGGTCTAACTGGGCACAGTCAATAACGTTAACATTTGGGATTCGGGTTGACATGCAAGAGTAGATCTAATGTCCTCTTCTTGTGAATGAAGTCGCGGGGTCTTTACAATCCACTGAGATTCAACAATGGGTGGAAGATTGGGAGAGGACTGCACGTAGATGGCAGAGAGGGAGAGTCTGCAATGCGTGGAACGGGGACACGGCGGCGAAATGTTATCTGCCTCGCCTGTCATACAGGGAGCCGTAGGTTCGATCCCGACCCTGATGCCTGTACATTTTGGGGTTTGCGTGTCTCTTTCCCGGTGGTTGCGTGGAATTTTTCTCCGGGTCCTCCGGATTTTCCCTCCACGTTCGGAATCAACGTGCGTTCAGAGGATTTGGCTGCAATACATTTCCACATTGATAAGCCACTTCGTTGAGCTATCATTGTGGCCAGGATGCTTCTGAAAAAGAGCTGTGGAGCTCAGTGAGAGCCTTACCTGGTAAAATAAAAATAATTTATAGTTTTACACGGGGGGAAGTAGAGTGGACATGACGTGACGGTGTTTGGGGAAGACTACGTATGGTGCGAAAGAAATCCAAAATACATACATACAGAGCATCCCATAGGCTTCCTATCAACCAAAAGATAAATTGGTTATTCCATTTCATCATCATCATCGTCGTAATCAACAGCAGCAGCAGCCATGATCCATCCACTGCTGGATGAAGGCTTCCCCAAGCCATCACCATCTCTCACGGTCTCGCAATGCATCGGATCTATCTAGGCAACTGCACACGAGCGGATTTCATCGCTCCGTCTCTGCCGTGGCCGTGCTATGTATGTTGAACTTCTTTAGCGCCATTAGTAGCCAACCGTGCTAACCGGCGAGTGAGCGAGCGAGCGAGGTCGCGAGCGGCCGCCAGACAGAACCCGCGTCTCGCGCAGCGGCGGTGTGGGAGGAGGAGAACGTGCAAGCGAGAGCGAGACGCATGAAGGAAAAGTGAGGGGAGGCCAGCGGCAAGGCCACGGGTGAGAGAGAGCGAGCGCACCAATAAACAAACGTCCGTCAACCCTCCTAAGACTTTCCAGAGCCCCACACGCGCCAGGGCGAGAAGCCTGGGCGCTCGCTGGACAGAGCCGCGTGGATTAACCTCTCATCAATCTTACGGGCAGCAGAGAGCGGCCGCCGCAGCCTAGTCCGCCACATGGCAAGCCTTTGTTTGTTTGTTAGAGTCCAGGCGCAGGCCTCTCCGAGGGGGAGTGCACTAAGAGAGACAGAGCACAGCTTTCATCTCGTGCACCACTGCAACGGCACCGGCGAGATTCCCGCTCAGCGTCAGGAACGAACCGACGGTGATTAACGCGCGCTGGTGTTCGTCATAACCGTCAACAGCCAAGGTCTATCCACTGCTGGGTTGAAGGGCCTCTCCCGAGTCACTGCCACGACTCACGGTCTCGCGACGCAACAATGCATCGCGCTCTTGCGCAAGAGTTGATCTCACTGCCTCATCTCAGGGGTGAGGGGCGTGGGGGGGGAGCAGTCATCCTTCAGATGTGATCCCTCCTTTAGCTGCAAATCCATTACTAATCTTAACCATCGGCCATATCCTGTCCAACCGAAATCCCAAAGGTTAACACTGCCCCAAATGACCACGTGGTGATGCTCATCTCTGTGAGTGGCCTCCCAAAAATGGTGGGAAATCCACATTGCCATTCAATAGGACTGCTGTCGAATTCATTTTCTCGAGCCTGTGCAGGAAAATATGCTGTACTGTAGAGCATGTTGTTGTAAAAACGACATAAACATTAGAATGTTTAAATCACGAGAAATAGGCTCATGCGGTGCCAAGATCAAAAGTGCTACAAAAGGTTGAAAATGGCAGTCTTAAATATCAAAAGGAAAACCGAATAGGTGTGCCAGGCTGTAACAACACAAATTATAAACGTAACTCCAACCAAAAATTGAAATACAATTGCCAAAACAAACCCAGCGCTGTAACAGCCGCAAATAAAACTACAGGCACGAGAGATCTCGCACCAAATAAATAATTGAACCTCGTTGGGCTTCCCCCCCGTTCCCCCCCGCCCACTTTGGAGACAAATTGAAAAGCAGTCTTCGAACTCAGCGAGGGCCCTGTTTAGGGTAAGGATACCTCGACGTCGCTGGGGCGACACAATTAAGCGGTGAGATTACAACAACGGGCCAAGCCCCACGATGCAATCGAGAACTGCGGGGGGCGGGGGGGGGGGGCGAGGGGGGCGATTTGAACCCGGAAGCGAAGTTAACGGTTTTGGCAGCCCATTTTATTTTTCGGGATATAATGCTCGCATGTCGTTCGCGGTGAAGGCCACAGACGTCTGAAATTTCCAGCGAGCTTTTCCAGCCGCAGCCGCCATCTGGCTCTGTATGGGCGCGCGCGTGTGCGTGCATGGGTGCGTGTGCGTGCGTGCGTGCATGGGTGCGTGTGCGTGCGTGCATGGGTGCGTGTGCGTGCGTGCGTGTGCGTGCGTGTGCGTGCGTGTGCGTGCGTGCGTGCGTGTGTGTGCGTGCATGCGTGCGTGTGCGTGCGTGCATGGGTGCGTGCATGGGTGCGTGTGTGTGCGTGCATGGGCGCGCGTGTGCGTGCATGGGTGCGTGCGTGTGCGTGCATGGGTGCGTGCGTGTGCGTGCATGGGTGCGTGTGTGTGCGTGCATGGGTGCGTGTGTGTGCGTGCATGGGTGCGTGTGTGTGCGTCCATGGGTGCGTGTGTGTGCGTGCATGGGTGCGTATGTGTGCGTCCATGGGTGCGTGCGTGTGCGTGCATGGGTGCGTGCGTGTGCGTGCAAGGGTGTGTGTGTGTACGTGCATAGGTGCGTGTGTACACACGCGTGCGCGTTTGTACGGAGAGCGGCGACGCGGTAGTTAGCGCGCTGCGCTTACGAAGCTGGCGATCCGATTCGCGCTCACGGCCAACAACAGTGACGATCATCTGAACCGGTATTGGGCCTCTACTAGGTCGACTCAGCCTCAAATGAGTAACCTGGTGTGGTGTGGAAACATCACCACTGGGGAGACAAAGGCGGCCGGTGTGCCGTGCCGGCCTTCATAGGTGCTCGCTAACAGCACTTACCCCCAAAAAAGTCTGTTAAGGCTACACGGGGGATCTTTGTCTTTTGTTTGTGTGCACGTGTGCTTATACACGAACACGCATCTACACATACATACACACACATTCACCCCCTCCTTACTGCCCTGCCAGTTACACTTACTGCTGTTTAACTGTGATGGCCACTCCTACCACCACCCCCAGCACCAAGGCTCACCTCCCCACAACCTCCTACATAACACACAATAATCATTAGTGTCATTGTGGAGAATATAACACACAATGGAGAGCCATACTAATACGTCTCTTTCACAGGTCTGTCCCTCCACAGACAAATGGAAAAACATTCAAATGGAAATATTATTTAAAAGTATTGTTTACACACAGCCCAATGGTCCCGCAAAGCCTTCTGGGAGTGCGTACTCTCAGCACCACTGACTGTAGTGACCCAATACCAGTAAACTCTGGACTGGTTTCGACAGCACAGTGAATCATCAGATGTTAACTCCTTCGCCTGGCCGTGGGTTCGATCCCGACCCCGACGCCTGCTGTGTATTTGCAATTTGCGGTGTCTCTCTCTCATCATCATCATCACGGTGGCTAGGAGATGTTAACTACCTCGCCTGGTATACAGGAGGTCGTGGGTTCGATCCCGACCCTGACGCCTGCTGCTGTGTATTTGCAATTTGCGCTGTCTTTCTCCCAATGGTCACGTGGATTTTTCTCAGGGCCCTCCGGGTTTTCCCCTCCACATTTAGAAAGATGCGTTTCGAGTATTTGGCTGCTGTACATTCCCACGTGATAAGCCACTTGGTTGAGCTTTCATTTGAAAAATAGCTCAGTGGGCCTAACCTGGTCAAATTAAAACTACTTCCCGTGATCACGTGGATTTTTTTCTCCGGGTCCTCTGTTTTTTTCCTCCACATTTAGAATCAACATGCGTTTCGAGTAATTGGCTGCTGCTCTCAATGTCTACGTGATAAGCCACTTCGTTGACCTATCATTTGTGATAGCCAGGTCGCTTCTGAGAAAGAGCTGTATAGGTCAGTGGGCCATACCTGGTAAAATTAAAAGGTTGAG